CCCCAAAACCCCAAAACCCCAAAACCCCAAAACCCCATATAAAGCGAGCAACATTGAGCATTTAAATAAAAATATAATGGAAGCATCTAAAGCTAGGAATATTCAACTCTTAGAAGATTTCTTCAAACTCTACTACTTGTTTATGAATGACAGCCTCAGAGGTGAGATCAACCTACCTCAGATAGTTGTTCTTGGGAAGCAATCCTGTGGAAAAAGTTCCATCATTGCCAACATCATTGGAGTTGACTTGATGCCATCTGGGGAAGGTACTACAACCAAAGCTTGCATTAGATACCAAATCCATCACGAGAATGTTGAGAATACCTACTACATTGTCCAACAAAACCTCAGGACTGAAGACCCACAGGCTGTGAGGAACGAAGTCGAAAGAATTTCTAATGAAGCTATTAATGAAGAAACAAAGCAGAGAGCTGAAAAACATAACTCTGAAGAGCCTCTTGATAAGATTATTATTACTGAGAAGGAAATTGTAGTTGATATCTACACTAAAGACAAATCTGCCTTGAGTTGTCTAGATCTCCCTGGCATGATCCAAGACGTTGAAGATGGTATCGAAAAGAATACCAAAGAAAGAATCGAAGCTATAGTCGAAAGATCTGTCCGCATGACTAATACGATCATCTTGTTCGTCCATGATTCTGATGAAGACGTTGAGAACTCTGCCATAAGAAAAATGGTTAAAAAGCATGATCCTAAATTTGAAAGGACCATCACTGTGCTCTCAAAGATAGACCTTGGCCATCAAAACAAGTGAGAGTATGTATTAAAACTACTTGATGGGTCTAAATTCAAGACTCCTCTCGGCTACTTTGCAATAAAAGGTAGAGGTAAAGAAGAAAGATTAGCTAACCAAACTATTGAAGGTGCGATTGCTGCAGAAACTGAATGGTTCAGCAACCGCTCTGAGTATGATGATGTTGCTACAAGATGTGGAACTGAGAATGTAAGAAACTGACTTCAAAATATCCTTTGCAACTGAGTCATCGACAATCTTCAGAACGTTGAGGAAGAGATCCTCAGTACCTATGAAAGATATAGAAAGAGATTTTCTTTATTGTCAATTCCAGATGAATGAAAAACTGAGGAAGATGCCTCTGAAGTGATCTTCTCTGCCATCACAGGCATCACAAGAGAGTTTCACAATTGGATGGAGAATGGCAATCCTGATGATGTGGAGAGAGTACTCTCAGGAGGCGCCTACGTGAAGTATATTATCAAAGAAAGCTACGATAAGCACATCAAGCCGCTAGACTGCTTGAGAAATTACACTGATGAAATGATTTACTCGATTGAGCAAAACTTCAGTGGCCACCATGAAAGAATCTTGAGCAACGACGGGCCTTCTGTATACTTATTGAAACACAAAATAAGAGAATTTGAAGCGCCCTTGAAGGAATATGCTTTGAATGTGAAGACGGCGATTAAGTCCATCATTAGAGACATAATACAGAAACTTTGAGGCACTAAGTATAGACTTGCTAGCAGATTTGAGAAAATTTCAAAAGATATTCTCAATTCTCTGTTCTCTTCAATCTGTGAAAAGATATGCGAGCATATCTCGATGGAGAGAAACAACATTAACTTTGATCGACAAGATTTCAAATCCTATATGGGCCTCCATGATAAGAAAGAAATGCAGCTACAAACTATCAGGAGCTTCATGAGTAATCAAGGTTATTCTGGCTATATTGACCAAAGTTTTGTAGACAAAATCAGAAATTACTACATATCATTAGACAATAGTCTTTTTGCTCAATTTGAAAGCAGCCAGACAGCGCCTTCCTCCACATATCATGCTGAAGAAGAAATAAAGTTAGGAGACGATTTAAGCAATGATGAGAGCACTGAATCTATGTCTGCAGAAGGTAGATTATTTGATCGTGTTAATGATCCTAGACCAATTAACAGAGCAAATATAATCAAAAAGAAGTCCTCTCCATCAACCATCAAAGTTGACCTAAAGGAAATCCCAAAGAACGAAGAGTCAGACATCGAAGTGACAAAGAAGGTCGTCAACTGATATTGGAATGCACTCAAGAAGGAGTTCCATGACATGATGCCTCGCCTCTGCAAGCATTATTTCATCAACAAGTTCCAAAATGAGCTGGAGAAAAGTATCCTCAGAAGTGAGAGACAAATGAACGACAAGATTGGCCTAGCATCTGATCCTCAAGAAGTCATCGATAACTATAACGATGTTAGGGAAGCTCTAGTGGACCTAGAGGAATCTCTTGAGAAAATCAAAGATCTAAGAGCTAGTTATGAATAAAAAATAACTTTAAATTCTCTCTTTTAATTGTTACCCAATATTCTGAGCTTTTAATGATTTCTTCACCTATTTTCAAGGTTCTTGGTATCTTGGGACTAGATAATTGCCTACCAGATTAGAATCTTACTCAAATTATCAAGAAATATTCTAGCTGTCTTATGTGGATCCTTCGCAATAGTCTTCAAATAGGTTTCATTCGAGAATTACCGAAAATATCTTCTGTCTTTAAATTGGGATTTAATAGGAACAATTTCAGATGATACTAGTTATATTTATTGATGGTATTCGTTCCCTAGTCTCAGTGATAGAGCAAAATCATTTTGATACGAATAGAATCCCATTTTCATGGATAGTAAGCCTTTTCTAAAGGAGATAATTCTGAACCCAATCAAAAGACTTTATAAAATCTCATGATTCAAAAAAATAGCAAAGTGCCTGGAGGTTGGAGAAAATTTAAAGTACGATTAAAATTTTCTCCAACCTACCTCATATCTTAACCAAATTAAAAATCTTTTTCAAATACCACCTAGTCTTCTTTGGAGGATTACTATGATAAGAAATAAAGTGTTTGACTCAAATAGGTTGCTCTTCAGACTCTCAGCCATATTTCGACTAGACGACTCCTAAGACACTATTGCCAGAAAGCTTATTTTTCTCCAACTCAACTTGTGGCTTACCACCCGGGGTTTTGGGGTTTTGGGGTTTTGGGGTTTTGGGG